ACACGAGCGCTTCAGTGGACGGACTGGGCAGCGTCAAGAACGCGTTGTATTTGGCAAAGTCGCTGCGCCGCATGTGCGCTTGCAGCGTCGTCGCAGGCAGCGCTTGCTGGCACGCGCCCGGGCACACGAGCTGACTCGGCAAGACCTGGCGCGTCTCGATCTTGTGGGCTAAATAGTCTTGGAGGCAGCCGTGGCAGTAGTAGCTGCGGCAGCTCGCGCAATGGACAAGGTTGTCGACGACGTCGGCCATGTCGCCGTGCAGCGTGGCCACGGTCGCATGGCAGAGGAGGCATGCGCGGTCCACAGCACTCGACGGCGTGAAGGCGCGCGGCGACTCGAACGCGTTGAGCTCGTGGTAGTGGACGTACACGAATTCTTCACCGCTCTCGGAGGGTCGCAGCAGCATGGTCGATCAAATTGCACTTTGACGCTGCACCATGATGGATCTTCCATGCACTTCGAACTTCGATGTATCATGTGGACCAGTCAGGCCGACCGCGCCACATCGGCGAGCGAAGGCCCGCGCGTCCAACTCCATGCAGGCATCCGAGATATACGTCGCCGTGAGGACGATTTCGTTCGCACACGTGTGGACCTCCCGATCGTCGCATGTACGCACTAGTGGTTGGGACGCCGTGGCTGAATTGTTTTCTAGAATTTCGGCAAAAATGAATGTATTCACTATGCCTTGATAGTAAGGATCCGCGTTGATGCGGATCACTCTGCATGCTTGATGATATATGCTAGCTATGCTTGATAGAATCGAGTGCACTGGATAGACTCGAGTGCACTGGATAGACTCGAGTGCACTGGATAGTATCGAGTGCATTGGTATTTTATGCGGGCGAAGACGACGACAAAAGGGATTTTTGAGTGGACCAACAGAGGCGATGGCATCGAAGGCTCGACACGTCTCATGCACATGGACGCGCTTTGCTGCCTGGGACTGCGCTGCGGTGTGCAATGGCCGCTCCACATCGGTCGTGTCTTTTTGACACACGCCGGTTCAACGCATCGAAGTTCGAAGTTATGGGAGGTCCCACCAATTTTCCAATTTTGAGGTGGCGTCTCGTCCACATGACGTGGCACGCGCAGGGCCCGTCTGTTGTGCGTCGTCGCTGGCCCGCGCGGCCGCGTCTTGAGCGCTCGTGGGTCTGCTTCTGGGTGGCACGAGGTCGCAGGTACAGACCTTCTCTGTCCATGATGGTGTCACACGCCTCTAGTCGCAAGCGCACCGACCACTAATGAGCGGCTTCCAGCGAACGACCACTGGAACGTTCGGCGTGTCACTGGGGGCCACTCAGCGGGTGTGACCACCGACGTCATGAGAGGGGGATTAACGCCTCTGCAAACGCACACGCGTTTTGCGGTTGGACGCTTTGCGATTGACTCGCACGTTCTTGTCGTTGAAGAGGGTCGTCTATTTCACTGGATAAGTCTAAATAAGAAAGTGCGGTCGGACGTTCTTAGTTGTGTACACTCGGTCACGGGACGTGGTCGAGGCAGACGGCGACGGGAGCGCGATCCGCAGGATACGTTGCCGGTGCGACCACTCGTGCCAAGTGGTTCATGCGTCGTGTAACAAGAGTTATGGGTGCTTGCGCGCCTGCGCCGCCCGTGGCGCAGTCTCCCTTGGGAGAAATCTTCTTTGGTCGCGTCCATAACTGAATCCTCTAGGTGTCGTCGTCCTGCGAGCCATTCCGAGTCGCATCGCGTGATGTTGAGATGAAAACGAGAATGGTATATTGTTCATAATGATATGTTGATGTCGACGAACACCTTGTCAGCGTGCATTGGCGACGACTTAATGGAGAGGAAGGCGAGCATGTCGAGCACGACGGGTGGTGCGCTGCTGGCGGCGGTACTCTCGAGTGTTGATGACGAGCCCTTTTTCCGGGTCGCGACGGAGGGCGCGGAGGCCGCAGTAGACGGCGAGTGGCGGTGCCGCGACGGCGGCGAGGCCAACGACGACGCCGGCGACGACCGCGCCCGCAGCGACAACTGCGCTCGCGCCGACGGTGGCCGCGACCGTCTTGGTGACGAGCCGGACAGGCGCCGTCGGGCCGAAAGCCCAGTGCTTGGAGCGCCAGCACGCGAGTGGCCAACAGCGTGCTTCCGTGTGGTCTTGCCAACTAACGTGACAGCGCCAGCAAAAGTGGTGCTGGCAGTACGTGCACGTCATGTGGCTGCAGCCGCCGCTTTTCTGGATCGTCGCCGAGCACGACGGACAGCGTTGCGCCGCGTGCGTGCGGCACCACAAGCGATATGCGCGGTCGCACTGCGGCCACCAGTGGTACGCGTTGCCGCAGTCACGGCACGACGACTGCTGGCAGCTCGTGCAGTCGACGCGGCGCTCGTTTTGGCGCGATGATGCCAGCAAGAGCGGCTGGCCACACTGCGGCCGAGGGCAGTAGCCGAGACCTGCCTCGCGGTGCGCGATCGCTTGGCGAAACCGAGTGTACTTTTCGACAAGAGTTGGTGCCACGACCTGCAGAATCGTGTCGCTTGGAATGGGTCGCCGGCAATGGCCAGGGCACACGAGTTGCTGTGATGCGACTTGGCCATTGTGGATCTTGTGCGTCAGATACTGGCGAAAGCAGTCGTTGCAGACGCTAGCGTCGCAGTGCAAGCATTGATGAGAGCGCGCAATGGGTCGATCGTCGAGGCAGATCAAACAGGTTTTGTGCTGTGGCTTGGAGACGGCACGGTGCCAACGCACCGCATCATCGTCATTGAACAAGACCACCAAATGCGGCCGCGGGATTGAAGGTGCATGGCTCATGTGGCGTGAAAAGATGAAAATTGATGTGCGGCCGAGGGTGATGAGAACTGACGGATAAGCTTGATCCCCTTCCGGTGAGATTGGGTGGCGAGTTGACCATCGCCGTGAACGAATGAATGAATTTTCTCTCTTCGCAGCAGGATCGGGACGTGTCGGCACCCGAGACGCGCTGATGCGAGCTTTGTCGCCATGGCAATGCTCTTTTTTACGAGAAATTAGAGAAATAAGAAAAAGCATTTTATGTTTCGTAGCTCGACGGTTGTCGCGTTGTGGCCCTTGGGTGTGGCATGTCGTGGAGGCGCCCACTGTCTCGGTCTGCCATGATTGTCGTACTTTCAGAAGTTGGTGGTTTCGGTCGCACGAAGGCAAAGCACCGTGGAAAGCCGTTTGAGAAAGGCACAAAACAATCAAGTTGATACGACTGACGTCGACACTTGGGAAGCAGTTGGCTCATTGGACTGGCCACCTTTTCACGACGCCAGTCCCAGGCAAGCACTTAGATCTCGCGACAACAACAACGACAGAGCACGATTTGTTACTCGTACGCATCGCTCGTTGTTCATCGAGAGGCTAATGTCCATGGCACCATCGCTAGCTGGACCAAACGATTAGTTGATTCGCGAGCACTTGGTACCGACATGATGCCTCTATCGCCTGATGCACGAAAGGTATTCAGCGACGAGAAGAGGACTGTTGTGAGCGGTCTCGTGGCCTGCCATGATTGCCTACTCACTTCATCTGCAGAGTAGATCGTGGTGGTTACCACTAAGAACTGCTCGGTGCCTCTGCTTTCGCATGGATCGCTCGTTTGCGTCAGCGTTTGTGTGCCTATGGGCGTGTCAGAAGGTTCTCCGAGCACATGGTCCAAGCCAGATTCTTCACGTAGGCGTGATGGGCAGAGCATCATTCTGACCTAATCGTGCTCTCGTGGAATGAGCCCAGCAAATGACGCTTGCCAGTTGCGACTCTTTTGAAACTTGCTGAGGTGTCTGGAGCAGCAAAGAAGACTTGTAGTGCGCTGCGGGACGTAAACGCACAAGACAGATTGAACAGGTGGCACACGCTCTACTTCCGCGAGCCACCTGAAAACAACCTCCTTTTAGTATGATCATAGTAGAACAAAGACGAACGATCTAGAACAATCAATCAAATCAATCAAACGTGTTTCCGTTCAAATCAAATCAGAAAAAATAATTTAAGAGCTTCGCACACGTAGTGCTACGCCTGAATGCGTAGGAGTTGGCACCCGCACTTGGTCGTTGGGAGTGAGCTCGGCACGGAGAGATCCATCCCTTGGTGGACCCCACTCGCCGGGTGATGGCTCGCGCGAGGTCGTACGCAGGCTCCTGTACTCGGACCACCTGACAGAGGAGTGCAAGCCGTCACGAAACCGTCCGAGCCTGCATCCGAATAAATCCGGATCACGACCGAGCGCACAGAACGGGACTTCGTGGAGGCAGCGCCCGCGGGGGGTGACAATTAAATTCTAGCGGATTTTCAGTGAATCGTCTAGCGGATTTCATTCTAAGACCGATTCCTCGCAAACTGTACTGCCTGCGTCCTCGTCAGACTACGTGTCGCTTGCCACAGAGTAGTCGCTTGGATCACGCAGGTTGCTCGAGCGGCATGCTTCGTCGTCGTCCTACAATCGGACGTTATGTCCATTTTGGCATCGACGCCGCCAGAGGTCGTCCTCGCTGCACGGCTCCCGCAACCGCTGTCCGAGTCGCTCGAGTACCAGCGACAACTTCTTGGCAAGCGGCACCGAGGCTTACGAGGACGCACGTCGCACGGTTTGCGAGGAATCGATCCGAGAGAGGATCCGCTAGAAATTAATTGAAAATCCGCTAGAATTTAATATTTGCCGACCCGCGGGGCAAAAGCACGGGAGGGCCACCGACGTCTCATCTCCTTGACGGCCGCCGGGGATCTCGACGGGCCTTGAATCGTCGAGGGGCATTGAGTGCCGTGGCGCGGCTACCGACCGTTGCCAGCGACCAGCACTTGCACAACAATGGACGTAAGACCCAGAGCACGCAGCACGCCGGAAACGAGAGCCATTTCTCAAATCAACTGATTTTCTATTCCGTGCAGCCATGCCAACCGAATTGGTTGCCAGGTACGCTAACGGTTGTGCCATCATTCCATGACCAGATACTAGTATATCTCTGGAGGATGCGTCGCTTCCCTTCATATCAGGGAGAAGTAAAAGGCAGGAGCCAATCAAATGGCGTCGTTGCCCGCGAAAACGCACGTGGCAGCCCAACGGGCGTTTCGCCCACACCAGCCCCAGGATCAAACTGCTGCAAGATACCGGTAGATAGATAGATAGATGGTTGGATAGATAGTTGACCATATCGCTGGTTAGATCCAATGTCGGCATGACCGTTTTCTCTGGGTGTCTCTTGCTGATATCTCAATGTGCGTAGTATGCGGAGGCATGAGAATGTGAGTTATCAAGGTCCACGATAACTCACATTCACAAGAGGGGGTGAGAGGATTCTACGATTCGTGGGCTCGAACTCAAATCCAGTGTATTTTTCAGTCTTATATATGCAAATCAACTATGCAAGAGCCATCGCATCGGCCGTTCAGAGCGCACCCCAGCGAGGAAGACACCAAGAAGCAGCATCGCACTCGTGGCCGCGGTCTCTGCGTTGGACGTTCGCTGCAGCGTCGACGGTGTGCCCGTGTAGCTGAGTGTGAGTTGGTTGCAGTCGGTGGAGAACGAAATGGGGCCCGAGAGCTTTGCGTTGGCCGTAAATGCGCTGCCGCAGACACCCGAGACGGTCGCCACGGTAAAAGTTGCGGTTGGACCCGACACCGCATACGTTCCCTTCGTCAAGCACGTGTTGCCGCTGCTATCGTGCGACTCGGTAAAATCCCCAGAGGTGGCAAGGTCCATGCGCATCCCCGTCGCACGGTACGAGCCGGGAAGCGGGCAGGTCAGAGCTGGAGCGGGCGTTGGCGCAGGTGTCGGAGCCCGTGTCGGAGCGGGTGTCGGAGCGCGAGTGGGAGCGGGCGTTGGCGCTGGCTTTAGGCTGGGGCAGATGCGGTAGAGAGGGCTTGGGTCGGAAAACGTCTCACCAGTATAGACAGAGGTGCACGATGGAAGCGTCTTTTTGATCGACAAGTAGTTTGCTGGGCAAGTCGACGTGCAAAAGCCCGACGGCAAGCCTTCTGGTGTCGTGGTATAAGAGAGGTTGTACGCGAGGTGACCGAACGTCGTAAGATACGCATTGTTGAGAAAGGTCGAGCAGTTGGACCAAAGCCTCGCGTCATAAGCCTCGTACTTGACCACCATATCCACCATGGCGCAATAGGCCCCGACTGCTGCAGGCGTGCACCCAAATTCATGTCGGAATTCGTCCATTTTGTTGTCCCCGTACGTGTCGACGCAGTTGGGCATCAACTTGGCCATCGCGTTGATGAAGGCCGAGCAGGTGGCGGACGTACACAGCGCCCTAGCCTCGTTGGTGGTGTAAGCTTTAAGACCGGACAAGTATGTGTTCGGGGCACTGGAGCAGTTGCGCCACACCGGTTCTTCGTACTGCAATCCGTTGGACAAGATCGCGTCGGCCGTCGTGCACGCACCGCCGTTGGTTGTTGGACGCGTCATGTTGGTGCACAGCTGATTTTGTTGCGCGACCTTGGCGTAAGTTTCGGCGTAATCGTAGCACTCTGGAATGTTGCGCGTGAGGTTCTGCAGGTCGGCCTTGCACGGCGGCCGGCACATGAGGTATGGATCGTCGTCGAGTCCACTCGCGAACGTCATCGAGCTGCGCCAGCTGGGCCTGCTCGCATTGCACGAGGTCGAGACGTTGGCCGCCAAGAAAATCTTGTTCGTCGTCTCTTGGTATGCCGTGCACCACGCAGCGGTCGCGGACGTCGCCAGCATGAGCGCCACCGTCGCAGCGCAAATGAGTTTCATGGTGTTCGAGGCAAGGAAGGCAAATTGCAGACTGGGTTCTCGTATCATTCCGGGCAGAGTCGTTTTTGGTCGGCGGTTCAAGTGTGGATTTACTTAGCATTGGTGCAGAACCGTCGCGTGGAAAGGGGAGCGGGAAACATATATCTTCCACCACAATAATAGCACCCTACGAC